TCCTTTTTTAGGCCTCCACCTTTCCTAAGTCATATCATCTCCGTATGTTAAGCATTGGTTTTATCTTTACACTTTAAGTCTTTAGCGCTAGTGAAATTGTTGATTGCTTTTGACTTGATTTGTAATGCCTTAGGGTAGAACCAATCATGCATGACCCTTAGGGGAACATTAGTGTTTTGTTTGTTACACATTCATGCTATTTGAGTGATGACTTGAAATTCAAATTAGAGCTTAGTCTTGTTTGATCATTACTTGCCTATTAGGTGGTACACTTAGGTGTTTAGTAGGCTTGTAAGCCATCTTGTTTTGTTGTTTACATTCTTATTCTTACCTTTGTATGTTTCCTTTGGTTCACGTGGTTCACTTTGAATCAAGGTAGACATTAGAATAAAATCATACATGCTAACATTAGGTAGAATTCCCTTTCAATCATAACTTTAGGACCATCATTGTATGATAACATTAGAAAAGAATCTCCCTTAGACTTTTCACTTCCCTTTTGCATCCTTAAAGACTAAAACTCTTTTTCTTAATAAAATGTTAAAGACACTTAAAAATAATGATGCGAACCATGTGTCCCGAGCCTTAAGTATTGAAGAGGAGTATGACGGGTGTGAGTGAAACTTGGTCTCTTAAGAGTTTTGAATGATGTCAAAAATACAAGAATCTTGCATTTCTATGGTTGGACGTTATATCTGAGTTTAGTGTGGCATTCTGATCATTTAGAAGTCATAAGTTGTTTGGGGATCATTAAAAGTCATTTTAAAGTTGTGTCAAGCCATTAAAAACTGAATTTTCAAAAAATTTCGTTACATGTGTCGACACATCCGCTTTTCAGGTCGACACATGCAACTCATTTTAGAATCCTGCACAACCCTTCCATTCTGGACACCATCGCCCGACAACACCACTTCATCGCCTGGCGATGCACCTTCCCTTCTGCTTCGCTTGACGAATCTTGGAGCTATGCACTATAGTAACATTCCTCTTTTATGCCCCTCGTCGCCTCTTGGAACGCCCAGCGATGACCAAGCGCATCACCGTCACATGGCGAGGATGCTCCATCTTCCGATGATCCTGTGCTAACAGGGTTTTCCTGTTGCAATTTCCTGCATAAAACCAGCCTTAATTATTGCAATTTATGCATAGTATAGGTCCTAAAACATCATCTAATCATAGGTTTTTCATCAAACATCTACGTTCCAATGTATTCTACATTATAGGTACAATTGTTCACAATCCAAGGCCAGAAAACATCATCTATTTCATCAAATCATCTCATATTTATCACAACCAAAATCCTACAACTATCTAGACGTTAAATCAATTATAATATTCAAGATAAACACCCTTTACATTAGATTTTCTAGCAGCAAACCTTTCTCTTCGCAATATACCAAAAACCCCTTTGTGTTCTCGTACCCTAACTCTCTTTCTCTACAATGTCTGCTCTTCTGTTCTTCCAATATTTTCACGATCGATCCAAAAAGAAATATTCTCCTTATTTCTTGTTTAACCTTAGGACCCCTAATAATGAACTTCTCATCATGCTCTCACTTAACTCTTCACTAATTACCACCTTGCCCTCATGGCCTCTATCTAACAATGTTATTCTATTTAATTAACTAAAATAATTCTAAATAATTACTCTAATTATTCTAAATCATCCAAAAATCATCCCAATCACCTTAACTCCCAATACATCACATATAACCATCACATAACCATCATAATCATCATAGTTACATCACAAATACATCACCAATACATCACATATACATCACAAATATGCATCATAACTAATTAAGAAATTAAATAAATAATATAATTAATTTTGGGTGTTACAGACATACATAATAACTATGTAGACTTTGTATTAGTCTTGATAATTACTTGATGTGTTTGAAAGTCATGGATATGATCAAGGCATTGTTTGTATTGAGTGAAAAGCTACTTAACCTAAAAGTCCAAACTTGTAACGGTGAGAATCTTTTGACAAACCCCTTTGAGTTGTAAGATAAAAATTTATTTTGTTCTTTCAAAATTACAACTCTTAGGAAAATTTGAAAAGAAAAAATATGTTCACTACCTTATCTTAAGGATAAGAGTGTAAGCAAAAAAGAAAGGGTATTGTAATTAAAAAAGTAAGGGAGAAAATAAAAACTGAAAAGTTTTCAAAGAAAAATTGAAATAGTACTAGTGTAATAAAAATAAATAAAAATGCTTTGAAAAAATCAAAGTAAAAAATTAAAAGTCAAGCATACAAAAAGGAAAAAGGCACTAAAAATTATTGTAAGAAAGGGGAAACAAAGAAACAAAAGTGCATAAAAAGAAATACCTTATGCTCTCTTATCTTTAGGCTTTTGAATCCAAAGAATAACCAATAATGTGTCTAAAGTCGAACCATGTTAGAACCAAAGGCGAAAGCCCTACTAAAGTGATAATGCAAATTTTACTTCCAAGGTTGACATTTCGGAGTTACCCACTGTTACGCGAAACATGAGTAAGTGTAGTTAAAATCTATTTGTTGGGGGTTATATGTAGTCATTATATTCATGTACTAAATAGGTCATGACGCTCTATGTAATTCTACTCATGTTGTAATATTGACGACTCTTCTATCTTAATGCTTGTTTTAGCTTTGCAACCTAAAACTTATTTTCATGACGACTTGACATCAAATTGTACTTGTTATTATTAGATCCATGATAATCATCTATTTGATGTTAATGCCTATACATAGAGTCGGGTTTGATATCCACACGTACAATAGCATAATCGCGTGGAGTCTTGCTATATTTCAACTGTTGGAACATAATTATTTGTGTTGGCTAATAGTTCGAGATATCAACTATTAAGTAATACACTGATCTCGTGACGTGGAGATCAAAAGGAGAAACAAATTAGGGTAACCAGTGGTAATATTACTGGAAGAGTAGAAAGGCATGTTACTGACTTAGGATCGTGCATGATATATACGTAATGACGAAATCTACTCCAACAATCTTTCTCACTACTAACAACAAAATCTCATTTTACTTTCTGTCATTTATTTTATGTTATTTACTTTCACGCTTAACAATCAATACACAACCTTTTTCTCTACTTCAAATATTTAAAGTTGTTGAATAAACTTTAAAATCATCCATTTTTATGAATACGATAATTGGTTAACAAACTTTTGCTGCTAACGTAACAATAACTAGGTTAAATTATGAAAATATTACTTCGTAACCCTACAATTATACTCATATCCTTACACGGAATTTTTTTGGACCGAAATACCCTTGTATAAATAGTTCATATTTTAAAAATTTTCACTTTTTCCTCACATTTCAGAAAAGCTCTCGGAACACCCAAAAATATATAAGCCAAAACACATTTTCAAAGTCATTTGATTTACAAAAATACATACAAGCACACTTTTTGAAAGTGTTCCGGTAAATAAACTGTCATACATAATACTTTTTGAAAGTGTTCCGGTAAAGAAATTCATATCGGGACACTTTTTAGAAGTGTTCCAATTGGATATCTTTCAAAAATTCATAAAAAGTCATATCGGAACACTTTTTAAAAGTGTTCCGTTGAGTATGTTATAAAAAACAGATTTCTTTATAAAAGTGTTCTTTACGGAAATCATTTTTACTAAATTAGTTTCGGAAACAGTTTAAAACAGTGGCCTTGAGTAAATAGAGAATGCTTTTAAATTGTTGCGGAAACTCATTTACCAAATTTTTAAATCGGAACACATTCAAAAAGTGTTCCAATGTATTAATAATATACATAACCGGAACACTTTCTATAAGTGTTCCGGTATGAAAATTAAAAAAAAAAAACAAGTTTCGTTACTTTAGGTCACACTTTTGAACCGTTACTAAAACCCCTTTAACAGTTTTTTTTAACCAGGGGAATTAAAATAATACACTCGATCAGAACACTTTCAATAAGTGTTCCGGTATGATAAATTTTAAAAAAAAAAAACACTTTAGGCCACTGTCTTAACCGTTGCTGAAATTCCTTTAGCAATTTTTTTTAATTGGAATACTTTCAAAAAGTGTTCCAATTTATTACATTATATATATAAAACTTTCTTTAAGTGTTCCAAAATACATGCATAGGGATGCAAAATTTAGAGTTTTTTGATGAATAATAAAAAGTAAAATACTAAATTAGTTAAGAACATTAAAGAATAAAATTGACATTTAATATTTCAAAATGTTTTACAGGTTGTTTTGGAAGTGTCTCTCATGACTTTGTTCAATCAAATTTATTCACAAAAGTATTCAAGAATTCATTGTTAGAGTTATCATCCCATCAAATAGAAACTTTGTTGTTCATGCATTGATTTCCCATGCAAGTGAAAAAAGATCTGGTATTAAGCGTTTTTTTTTTTTTTGCATCTGAATATGTTGGCAATTGGTTTAGTTTTAATCTTAATGTTAATTGGTTTTGTCCACTGTTGAATTGATTGGATTGTATTGCATTTGTTTACGGTATATTTATTTATTTTTGCTTTTTTATCATCAGTATAATCTAATTCGGGGATCAGTTCTGTTATCAAGTGGTTTCAACCTCGTCCCAATCGCAATTATGAGAGATCGAACTATAATCCTGCCTATAAGTCCAACGTCAATTACAACTAAATTTTTAAATGGCATGTATTTGTATCATATCTTCTCTTTGCAAAATGTTACCCAATATTTGTTTTAACCCTTTCGATCTTTGTGTGCATGAATAATATGATATTTGTTGTTGTTGATTTAGTTTTGGTTTTTTTTTTTTGAAGGAGAATGCATGTGATAGGTATCCGTGGTGATTCATTTATGTGAGTTTTTTCCCTCAATAAAATTGTAATTCATTAATTATTTGTAAAATCACGTATTATTTTATTACAAAGCTTGTCAAATACTATTAATATTTTTATAATTTATATAATTGTAGATACATAATTTTGTAAAATACAATGAAATATTTGTTTATCATAAATATTGATGAATCATTTAATCACGACACCTAGTTAAATGGGAGCAACCTCGACTGTATTTATTGGCTCCCTTCCTTTCCGTTTGGCCACTAGTCTCCTGAATTTTTCTTGAAACCTTCGCTGTATTGTCATTCAAATTTGGTGGATTGTATTCTCCTCCAAGCTTTGCTAAATCTTCATATGAAATCTGTGAATAATCTTCCTCTCTTGGAATCTTCTCTGAACTTCCAGGTGAAATCTGTGTATCATTTTCGCTTGGAACCTTGTCTGAACTTTCAGGTGAAATTTGTGCATAAACTGATATGTTCTGATTTATCATAACAATAGTAAAAAGAAAGAAACAAATGAAAAATCCTTTCATGATGATGAGAATAGTTTGAAAATTCTACAATTGTTTTCTTCTTTGTTACCTATGTTCTTTGCAATTCAAATTAAACCGCGCTTCATGCAGATTTATAGTTTCATTAGTGTATCTAGTTGGATTTGTATATTTATGACAAATATAAAATTAGGTTTCATTTCAGTGATGGAGAAAGAGAATTATTTTTGGTGATATATTTGTAATTTTAGGCATATTTGTTTAGGATAAATTTGTTATTTACTATTTATCAAATATCTTTAAATTAAATGTATCATCATTCTTGGATTGAAACAATTTTGCACTTCGTATTTTTGTAGCTTTCAAAATTTAGTTTTGTTTTTTTGCTTTAAAAAGTTGAAAAAACTGGATGCTTCTTATGTTACGTTTGGATTTTTAAAACAAGTAAAATGTAATTAAACAAAATTGAATAATATTGAAGAAAAAAAAATGTAATAAGTCATGTATCGGAGCATTTAAAAATCCTATCTCAACTAACAGATTATTAGATTGAACGTCATCACCCATATTCAAATCCTAATACTCCGATTTTTTTAGCTTTCAAAATTTAGTTTTATTTACTTGAGAGTCACATAACCTTTGAATGACCTTTGATATAACTCAGAGTCTATAAGGCATAAAATCCATGATGAGTTCCAGTTTAGGATATTCTAACATACCTTTGCTCATCTCATACTTCTCAAGAAGTAAGTAGGTGCTTCTGAGTTTCAATCTTTGAGGCGTTCTTTTATTATGTCTGAAAAATAATTTGGTTTATCTTAGTTATGTCTTTTAATCTAGAATTAGATATTCATCATGAGAATATTTTAGCTTATGTTTCCTAAGAGATGTTGATGATTCAACAAAACTTTCTAAGTTTGAATGTTTACTCTCTTTTTGAGTTCTTCCATAAGCTCTTTGTTGATAGTCAAAATAACTAATCTTTTGATCTGAAAATTTCTTAACTGGATTCGACTTTTCAAAGTTATTCTTATCGTAAAACTAAAAATGATTCATCAACATTGTAGGTTTCAGTGTTGTATACTCTTGTAACTTTTGAGTGTTCAAAGTATCCCAACATGATACATATTGCTTTAGAATAAAACTTCTTAGTGCTAAGCATAACACAATTATATCATAAGTAAAAGGAACTGCCCCTGTTCAATCTTCTTAAACCTGAGGATTTAGATTGGCTTGTCTGCCTTTCATGATCTGAGGGTGGAAGATGATTGAACACTAGAGTGTCCCGAAATTTGCACTCACATGAGGTAAAACTGACGGTTGATGACGCCGAGAATGGGCTTACAGATGTCATCCAGAGAAGGTGACGGAGAGTTGTCGGAGATGGGCTTAAAGATGCCATAAAAAACAATGATGATTTCGTGAGATATTCCTTCGTGGGAATTCCTGTTCCTGTTGTTAGGGTGGCCTTCGCTGAGGAATGTTGGTCTCTATCTTGGGGAATAGAGTCTAGGAGCTTCGATTTGTCCATTACTCTACTGGGGAGTCATCTCTTGATTGAAGAGATGAAAGTAAACTTCTATCTGGTCAGGATCCAGGCTTCACAGTGACTTGTTGAGGATGATAAGGCTGACTGCTATCTGGTCGTGTTCCAGGCTTCACAGCGACTTACTGGGGAAATGAGATTAAACTATTATCCGGCCAGGATCCGAGCTTCACAGTGTCTTGAATTGTTGATTGACTATTATCCGGTCAGTTTCCGGGCTTCATAGTTTCTTTAACTAGAATAGAAATCTTAGTATCGATTTCACTAAACCAGAGAAAGGTCTCAAGTTGTCTTCAACTGGGGTAGAAATCTTAGTTTCGATTTGACTAAACCCAGGAAAGGCCTTGAATTAACTTTGACTGGCATAGTAATCAGGAGGATCTTAGTAGCGATTCAAATGACCCAGACGAAAGTCTTGTTACATCTTCCACTGGCATAGTAATCAGAAAGAGATCTTAGTGTCGACGTGTCTGACCCAGGGAAAAACTTAGGTTAACTTTGACTGGAATAGTAATCAGGAGAATCTTAGTAGTGATTCGACTGACCCAGACGAAAGTCTTGGAGTCTCTTCTATGGGCATAGCAAGCAGAACGATCTAGGGTTAACTTTGACTGGCATAGTAATTAGGAGAATCTTAGTAGCGATTCAACTGACCCAGACGAAAGTCTTGGAACCTCATCCACCGTCATAGTGAACGGAGATATCTTGGGTAACGTTGACTGACATAGTAATCAGGAGAATCTTAGTAGAGATTCAACTGACCCAAATGAAAGTCTTAGAATCTCTTCCGTCGGCATAGCAAGCGGAGAGGTCTTGGGATGACTTTGACTTGCATAGTAATCAGGAGAATCTTAGTAGCAATTCAACTGACCCAGACGAAAGTCTTGGAATCTCTTCCACCGGCATAGCGAGCAGAGAGGTCTTGGGATGACTTTGACTGACATAGTAATCAGGAGAGTCTTAGTAGCGATTCAACTAACCCAGACGAAAGACTTGGAATCTCTTCAATCGGCATGGAGAGTGGATAGGTCTTGGGATGACTTTGACTGGTATAGTAATCAGTAGAATCTTAGTAGCGATTCAATTGACCCAGACGAAAGTCTTGGAATCTCTTCCACCGACATAGTGAGCGGAGAGATCTTGGGATAGCCCTTTGTTAGATGTAACTCGTTGATTTGATCTTTTCCATGAAAGGTAAAGAATTAGTTGTATGCACTGTCATGATGTATGAAATGCATTGTGATGATGTTCTCAAAATAAATGAGATTGTATTGTATGCAATATGTATGTGCATGCCATGATGTATGAACATGGGATGCTATTGCAGTACTTCTTAGTCGGGGAAAATGAATCCCGAACTGCTGCTGAAGAGTATTAGGGAAACCGAATTCTTCATTCCCGCTGGGGATGGTGAATGGAGTTGATTATGCTGCGGATTTACTCCTTGTTTACGAATATTCTGCCGGGGAGAGACTCTGCTTGAGAATAACTCTGCTTGCGAGAGGAGATGCTTTGGGGAATATTTTTCCGATTCGGAGAAATAAACTCCGCCGGGGGATGAACTTCCACAGTTAGAGAGATAAACTCTATTGGGGATTGAGCTTCTGTATTCAGAGAAATAAACTCTGCTCGGGAGAAAAGTTTATGAACCGCTTGCGATTATAAAATTCGGTTGGAGAATATAGATGTCGGCTCTCTAAAGGAACTTTGTTGGGGAAAGTAGCTCCTGTTCTTGGATGCTGATGTCAAAGCTTTGGTTGCCTCTACTCTGTGGGGAGTGTAGATGTCACGGGGGCGCATGTAATGGTGACTTTGTTTCAATGTTGTCCCTGCCCCTGTACCTGCGGGAAGGAGTAACTGTCGGAATTGACATGGTTTTTTAGTTTTTTCCCCTGTTTTTTAAGTTATAAGCAATTGTCTTTCAGGTTCTTATGCAAATATTTGTGAATAGAAATCATATTCAAATGCATATGTCAAGAATAAATCATTGGATGTTTTTACAAAATAAAACAGAAAAAGAAAAACAAATGGTTTTGCAAAAGTGACTTGTATTAATTTTGAAGTTGGCCTATAACAAACATTTTTGTACAAGGAGGCTGACGCTCTATTAAGAGAACGCCGCCGTGACAATGAAAGCTATACAATATTGTGTATGAAGAGAAGAAAACAGCTATGTGTAATAATCCTATTGAGTTTCAATTCTGCTATTGCCGCTATGTCTTCGAGCGTCTCATCACTTTGCTACTTGTTCGAAGCTGACTGGATTGGTCAGTGTCGTTTTGAGCTTGATAGTTGATGTTGAGGTCTAGTCGCAAGGTGATCCAATGGGACATAGTGATACACTTTAAATCCCTAACTTTTTCCTGGACCTCCCTTTCGGGTTTTCAGTCCACCGGGATACCCTTTTTTGCCCAAGCCGCCTTTTCAGGTTTTGGACTTGCCGGGTGTCCAGATTTTTTTTTGTTTTCATCCCTAACTTTTTCCTGAATCCTTTTGGTTCACCGGGAAGCCCTTATTTTTACCTAGGTCAGTCAACCTAGCGGGTCTTATTTATGCGTAGTATCTTTTCACTATGTCCGCATTGACAGGGTAAGGAAGATCGTCACCATCCATGGTGGTCAGAATCATGGCTCCACCATAAAAAAATGCTTTTGATCACAAATGGCCCTTCGTATGTGGGAGTCCATTTGCTTCTGGGATCACCTTGCGACAATATGATGCGCTTGATCACTAGATCCCCGACTTGATATACTTGGCGTCTGACCTTTTTGTTGAAAGCCTTGATCATCCGGTTTTAATACATTTGACCATGGAAAACAACAATAAGTCTCTTTTAATCAATCAGATTCAGTTGATCAAGTCGAGTCTGGATCCAATCATCTTCATTCAGACCTGCATCCTTCATGATTCTCAAAGAAGGGATCTGGACCTCAATAGGCAGGACAACCTCCATGCCATATACCAGAGAGTAGGGTGTTGCCCCTGTCAATGTTCGTGCGGAGGTGTGATAACCATGAAGAGCAAATGGTAACATCTCATGCCAGTCTTTGTATGTCACCATCATATTCTGTACAATTTTATTGATGTTCTTGTTAGTAGCCTCCACAACACCATTCATCTTCGGTTGGTAAGGGGAAGAATTATGGTGCTGGATATTGAACTGTTTACAGAGTTTGGTGATCATCATGTTGTTGATATTTGTACCATTGTCAGTGATGATTCTTTCTGTCACACCATACTGACAGATCAAGTTATGCTTGATAAACCGCGCCACAACGTTGTTGGTAACAGTAGCAAAAGAGGCAGTTTCAACCCACTTCGTGAAGTAATCAATGGCCACCAGGATGAAGCGATGTCAATTGGAAGCGGTAGGTCTAATCTCTTAGATCATGTAAATGCCCCACATTGCAAAGGGCCAAGGATTCGTCAAGACATTCAAAGGAACCAGAGGTACATGCATCTTATCGGCATAGATTTGGCATTTGTGGCAAGTTCG